GTGAAGGGAATTCCGAAGCAACAATGTCAAGGTACTTTTTTACCTGTGTTTTTTGTTTGTCGCTGATGCCTTTGATGGCACCAAACCATCTGGTGATGCCGGATTCGGAGTGAACGCCAGTGAAATGATCTTGAAACCAAACACTGGCTTTTGTAGGCTGCTGAAAGATGCGCTGGGGATCCATCTTGGGATCGAGGGGTGCCGCCTTCGTTGGTGTAAGAGTTGACTGCTTCTGTCGCTTGGCGCCCAGAGTGGAACGTCCCGGAAAGTGCATACCTGTGGTGGATGACGATGCTGGGGAAGCATGTAACGGGTTGTTGTCTTGTTCTGCAGCGGTTGTGGTGAAAGGGGAGAGGCCATCAGTGGTAGGCCTGGTGTCGGTGTGTGTAGAGTCATCGATGGTAGCACGTTTTTGTCCACGAGTGGTTGTGGTGGGGGAAATCTCAATTGTGGAAAGTGAGAGAGGTGGTGGAGAGGGCGTGTTGATGGGAGTGCTGGGTGCGGTGGTTCGTTTTGGTTTCTTTGGTGCTGGTGTGTTGGGTGCCTCATTGTGTGCATCCGGAGCACGGAGAGTTTCAATTGTCTCCAGTGCTGTGGAAAGTCGTGCTTCCAGGTCGCTGATGCGATGTGCCGCCATAGTGTCTGCCTCTGTCGGCTGCGAAGGTTGAAGTGGGAGATGAGGTTGTGATTTGCTGGATTGTAGTGGTGTTGGAGATTCGGTGGGTTGCGATTGTGTGTTGTCTGTGTCAGATTTGACATCTTGCTTGTCCTTTTTGTTGCCATCATTGTACTGGTCCTGCAGCTCTTGCAGGTACAACACCAATTCCTTGATGAGGTGTGACATTGCTGGTCGTTTTGCGAGTGTGAGCTTTTCTTGCCAGCAGAATGCGGTGGCCGCTTGGTCCAGATCAATTCTCCTTGCTCGGAGTTGACCCATAAGTTCAGTGGTAAAGACGGCTTCGCTGATGTGTTTGCTGCATGTGAGATGGATGTCGAAGCCGTGTGCGGCGTACCGTAGCCAGTACGAGGACCAATTGTGTCGCAGAAATGCGACCAATGGTGCTGTTGCGATTGGCATGCCTGCCGTGCGGTTGTGCACTGAATGTGGTGTAGATTGAATGTGTTTGGGTAGGTTGAGGCCAAAAAGCTGCCTGTTGTCCCAATGCTCTGGTGTTTGAACGAAGTCGTTTGGTATCTGGGGATTTGTAGGCGTGGGATTGGGGTGTTGTTGTTGTTGGGGTGTGACGGTGGCCTGAGGTAATGTATGTGAAGAAATGCTGGGGTTTCGAGTCGTCATCGAAGATGGACTCACAAATGTGTGTTGGGGAGTGGCAGGTGTGGGGGTTGGCAGTGTGGTGGGTGATGTTGGGCCGGGAAACTGCTGGGGTGGGGGAGGGGGTGGAGGGAAAGGTGGGAAAGTGGTGTTGTGGCTGTAAGTGTGAGCTGAACCCCAAGTAGTCGGGGTTAGGGGTGAGGTGTGTGGTGGGATGTTGTGAATCCCTGGTGGTGGGGAGATCGGGTGCATTGGGGTGCTACTGGTCGAGGCTGTTTGTCGCTGCACCGTACTGATTGCTGTACCGATGATGCCTGTTGGCATTGTTGTATGCCACTGAGGCTGTGTCGGCTTGTACATGGTTGCAACAATGGGGCACTACAATTGCCTGTGACTGCAAAAGCTGCACATGGAACATGCATGAGCAACATAGTTGGTTTGAGTGTCAACATCAACTTGTGCGATGCATCCAGCATGCAGCTGCATCGACTCTTCTTTGGCTCAAAAGCGGTGTCGGAGCAAATGCTTGATTGCAAACAGCTATGTGCAACGGGATTCAGGCCTGGAAGAAAATATACTCGAAAATGAAAAGAAGACACGGAAGAAAAAGAAGAAAGCAACATCACTGAATGAGGCCGAATCCAACGATGCTGAAATGCCCCGAGTGGAATCCCCACTTCTCTGGGGTCCGCACGACACCCTTTCGCCCCACGATGAAAGCTTCTCTGTACATGTCCCGATACGTCATCTTGTAATGCTGATACTTAGTCCGTATTGTCCCGATGACGATCACTCCCTGTTGGCCCTTGGGCCGCCGTGTACATTGATCGGTAACTATATGTACCGTGCTTTCCGATACATCTCCTGGGGTCGCATTCCCGTATATGACGCAAGAGGGAATGGGTGGATAGGACTTGTCGTCGAAGCAATGGCTGACTGAACTTGGGCGGACCAAGTCCTCGCGCATTATGCGCGCGGCACTTGCAATGCTCGTGCCGTGTCCGGCGGTGTAGATGTATGTTTCCCCTGGTGGGTCGGTGGCACGAGTGCCGAATGCTCTGCGAGTCTCTCCAGCCCACGGGATGAATAACATAGTATGTACGCCGTCCGATATTGGCGTCAGCGTTGCCCCCAGTTCGTTGCACGCTGATCGCGTGCCCGACTGTAGCACGGCATGTGCAAATTCGGCTAAAGTCTCCTGCCTGAAATCGCTGTCAGCAGCTATCTCGCCCAAGGTTTTGGTGAGTTTATGTGCTTCTTCCATGTCGACAGCGTGGGGGGTCGGCTTTTCATGATCGTAAAGCTCAGAGAAAGGTGCCACATCAATCTGTGGTGGTCTGCTCTGTTTGCCCAGTTGTTCGAGGGTTGGCTGACCCGATGGGGCAGCAGTTGTGGAGGCATCAAAAATCGGGGCAGGTGTCCGAATAGAGCTGGAGGGATTGTGCTGAACCTGTTGGCGAGAGGGTGTGCCCTGGCCTGTTGGGGGCTGCTGTTGTGCTGCTTGGCTGCCCTTGATGCGGAGGGCGATTCGCTGAACTTGCGAGGCCAATGTCCTTTGTGGGACCTTGGGTGGGGTAGGTGGCCTCTGACGTGGCTGTGTGGCTCTGTAATGCCACTTGTTGGCATCATCATCACGCACTGTAGAATAGCTACGGAGCACAACCGAGGTCCGCGGAGGTGTCGACAAAGATTGTCTGGTGTCCCTGCGAGAACGACTTCTGCGAGTGTCGCGGGATCGGTGGTGTCTGCGTCGGTGGTGATGTCTCCCGCTGCTTGCCGGTCGTGCTCTGCTGCGTGTGCGACGTCGGCGCCTAGTGCTCACGGCGCGAGTTCTGCTGCGTGTGGGTGAGCGCCGTCGCCTACGTGGCAACGGAGGATGGTGGGGAGAAGTACGTGCTGCAAACTGGTCGGTGTCTGCCGATCCCGTAGCCGGGGGTGGCTGTGTGGGTGGCAATGTGCTGACGGAGGGGGTGTTGGCTGTGTTTGTTGGTTGTTGTTGGGGAGTCATTGCCGGTGTCTGCGGGGCAATGTGTGTGGCATCGGTAGTGGGAACACTGGTGGGGTGAAGTTGTGAAGCTTGTTGGAGTGTTGTTGGCGGCGGTATGTGGGGTTGTTGAGCGGGTTGTGTGGAAGGAATGTTGCACGGTGCAGGTTGGAGTTGTGGAGCAGGTGGTGTAAAAGGAAGGTTGTATGTGGTAGGCTGGGGCTGATGCGGTGTCAGAGTTGATGGGCTCGTGGGAAAAACTGTTGGATGGGTAGGCAGTAGAGCAGGGTTCAGAAAAGTGGGGGGGTGTTGTGACATGAATTGCTGGGGTGGAGGTTGTTGTGGCATCTGGGGTTGTGGTGTGCTGAGATGTGTATATACCGTCGGATGCTGTGGAATAGGAGCAGTGTGTCCACACGGCATCATGGGGAAGCTGTGCGTCTGCTCAACAGGAATCGTAGTGGGTTGTGTCGGCAGTGTGGGCTGCTGAGTGGCAGCAATGCCAGTTGGCATCATTGCTGGGTAGCTTTGTGACTGCGGTACCCAGGTGTTCGGGTGAAATTGATTCAGCACCGGTCGGGCTGTTGGTGCATATGGTGTTGCTGGTGGCTGCGCGGCAAAATAATCCGGCCACATAGCTGCAACGAAGTGGGTGAAACAAACACAGTTGCACAAGCAACGTGCAGGCTGTCCTGGTTGTCCCTGCTGGACTGATTTGAGAGGTCGTAGACGGAGAGAAGGAAGAGGGCCGAGTACTCTCCGAAGAGAGCGCTGTTTCACTTGCTGTAGACACTGTTACCGCGTCTGCACTCATGTCAGATGCACATGCCCTTGCAGTCCCTGAGGAATAAAGAAGCGGTAAAATACGGGGCAGACTAGAGAGGTAGCACCTGCTCACTAGACGCACTTTACAGCATTAGCCGTCCCTTACTGCACCTGCACTCATGTCAGACTCACATGCGAGCATCAGAGAGAGAGAGATAAAGTAGCATCGGGAGATTCTGAACGATCTGAACGAAGGCTGAACACCCGGTTCATCACCGGTCTCCCCGGAGGGTCACCACGGCGCCATGACGGAAAGCCGTTGCTCTGGAGTCTCATCGACCCACGCTGATCACACTGATGGATTCGGCCAAGAGTACGAGTGCAAGAGGAAAAAGAGAGGCATGTTGTTCTTGCTTGTTGTCGCATCAAACTTCAATTGTGGCAATTGAAAATCTAATCTTGGCACAGGGGCCTTCTAATCTGGCTGGCACAGGGGCCCCAGCTCAATTTTATGCAGGTACGCCAAACTGATCAGGTCTGGTATCCACCATTACGCATAGCTTCGTTGGCATGCGTTTGCGTAATGGCCGCATGCCCCCTGCAACAGTTGATTTGGTAAATGTCCAATGCCGGATTGTGTTGAAAAGCGAAATTGCAAACAGTGTAGGAGTGACCCTCTGCTCCCATGGCTAGGGAGGTTCACACACACACACACACAACCACACACACACACACACAGCCACACACATGGGCAGTTCTCTAAACTAGGTCCCAAAAGGGTCCCAAAATAAGGCGGTACTGTCACAAATTTAGATGGGTCCCCAATCTAGAAAACTACCCACAAAGAGTCTCGGCAGGGGATAGTCAAAAACAGCTGCGGCATCCCTAGGTTGATCCCTACTTCGGCACCTGACCGCTACGAAATCTCCAGGTGCTGAAAGCTCTTTGGCCTCCTTTGAATTAGACATGACGAGAGGCCTGATCAGTTCAGTCTTTGCGGCGCTCTCCTGGAAGCCAAAGCGGTGGTTTGAGAGGGATGGGACTTAGTAAGTAAGGTTAGAAGGACCTTGATTGGGGTTATAAATGTAGTCACCCTAACTATAACCCTAGTTACTGAGTCCCATGATCCTTTAAGTATTCCTTTTTGTCGGAGCTCCTTGCTCCAAAGAACAGCAATCAAGATCCGGGCACCATCCGGATTGGGCTTGGGCTTTCGGGCTTCCTTTAATCAATTCTTTGGGCTCCACAAGTTCTTGAACAGAACGGTTCAGGGGCAGGCGTAGAAATCAGTGCAAGCGCGAGTGGCTAGGGATAAGGCCTTGCGGTCATACTTGACTTCATGTTCGAGGGTGTCTTTCGGGTGATCGAATTTAGGGCTTTGCATACGCATGAACCGGAGCCTGCTTTAACGCATGTAATCATGGGGGAGTGCTGGCGAGCTGGGGAACTGCTGTCTTATGCCTGCATGCATACACACATACACACGCGCCTACACGTACACCTAGATATAGACGGAGATGCGGACATACACGATGACGTAGGCGCACACATGTAAATTATTACTGCTGCCTATACATTATTATGTGTATATACAAGAAACATATATGGACGTATGCATGTACATATACATATACATATGCAGACACGTATAGACATATGTATATACACATACACATACATATACATGTTATACACTTGTACGTATATGTGCGCGTAGCTACATACACGTTTTTTCCAGTGCTCTGTTGCGCAAAACCATCTGACTTCCTGGGGTTCTTCTCGGGATCTTCATGAAGTGAAAGAAGATAGGCGCCTTAATGTTCTTACCAGAACTATATTGTAGTGGAGTTCTGTACTTTCTTGCAGTGCCTTCAAGGGGATAGAATTACGAATCATTCGGAAGACCCTTGAGCCTCAAAACGGCACAAGAAGACCAAGAACTCTCCGTCCCTCCACTTAAAGGGTCATGGGACTTAGTAACTAGGGTTATAATTAGGGTAGCTATACTTATAACCCCAATTAAGGTACTTATAACCTTACTTACTAAGTCCCATGATCCTCCAAACAAGCGCGCTGAGTTTAGTGGCTAACCCAAGGCTGACCCGCTTTGCCAAGGTGCTTTCACCAGAGGTACCCGACTCTGAACCATGAACGATCAGCATGTCCCATACCCTCTAACCTTTACACCCTCACACCCCCTAAACCGCAAGTCAGTAAAACCTGAACCCTAGGCCCTAAACCCTAAACCAAAAAGGGCCCGGCCTGTATGAATTGGGGATGATGCGAGTAGGTGTGGTAGATCACCGGGGTCAGCTCTCCTGTTCGGGCGAAGGCGGCAGCATTCTTGGGTTGGTGGGTTTGGGGTGTTGGTGGGGGTTATTGGGTTTTAGGGTTTAGGACTTAGGGTTATTGGGTTTAGGGTTTAGGGCTTAGGATTTAGGGTTATTGGGCTTAGTTGCGCTCAGCCCTTCGAGCTTGGCTGCTTGGAACTTGAAGCTCAGAGAACCCAACACCCCTTAAATAAGGAATATACCTTAAATCATAGAGGCCTTAATATTATGATTTAAGGTATATTCCTTAATTAAGGAATACACCTTAAATTCTAGTAGGATCCCTAATAGGATTTAAGGTATATTCCTTATTGAAAGGGTAGCTCAGATCTATTGCCTGCAGGCTAAGACGGTCGGCTCTGAGCCTGCTGACGCTAAGATCTTAGGGCTTATAATGGGTTTAAGGCTTAAGGTTTAGGGTTTAAGGTTTTGGGTTTAAGGTTTAGGGTTTAGGGTTTAGGGTTTAAGGTTTAGGGGTTTATGGGTTTAAGGTTTAGGGTTTAGGGCTTATGGGTTTAAGGGTTTAAGGGTTTGGGGTATGGCACTGAACCCTAAGACCCTCATCCTCGTAATCTAGCGGCCTACAGACTAAGATCCTAAACCCCAGACCCCAAGCCTCTTTCGAAGGTTGAGGCTTTAGATTAAGGCTTCTATAGCCTAAGACCCCAAACCTCAAATTTCGAAGGCTCTTTCGAGCTCCATGTTTTCTGGGCAGAACCCTAATCCCTAAAACCAAAACCCAAAAAACCCTAAACCGTCCACAGAGCATTGCACAGAGATGCTCGCAAGATTCGGCCCGGCGCTTTCAGTTTGGGGCTTTTGAGTGTTTAGAAACTCATGAACTCCCATCTGGGTGGCTGTCAAACTTGTAGTCCTTTTTTTGGTACCCTAAATAACAGGTGCCGTACCATGATAAGGACCCAAAAAGGGATCATGATTTTGACAACCACCCATCTAAACCTCCGCCATATCCGTAAACAAAAGCCTAGAAGCAATAATAAACGCAAGAGTACCTGACCAAACACCCTTGCAGTAACTTTCATAGAACCCCTTAACTATAGGAACCCTAAACACATAGGACCTCTTGTTCTCGAAATGAGCTCCCCTGAACTCTGTTCCTTCAACAAACGCCCCTGAAGTACCGGAACCCTTATGGGTACACGAACCCTTACTGCTTCAACAACACGGAATACTTGGAGGGGCAGGGGACCTAGTAAGTAGGTTATAAGTAGAGTGATAAGCACCCTAAATGGAATTCCCTCAATTATAGCCCTACTTATAAGCTACTTACTAAGTCCCCTGCCCCTCCAAGTACCTTTACCAAACACAGTGCATCAGTCGGTGCCTGGAACTACGTGCCAGGCTTTCATCCACTTCTTGAAGGAAAGCACTTGCTCCTGGGCGGCAGGGCTAAGCGCTTGGGCTTAAGAGCCTGGGCGTTTGGGCTTCAGGGCTTGGGATTAAGGGAGTTGACCCTAAACCCTAAATCCTAAACCGTATACGCCTTAGAGGTTTTGAAGTTTGTTAAGGGCCCTACGAAATGATTTTTGTGAGAAGGCGTTTGCAAGGCTTAAAGTATTGGATCTCGTGCTTGGAAGTGTAGGATTCCGGACTCAAGGCTGCCCTCACTCGGAGATCGAGTCTCCCTACTTAAAGGATCGTGGGATTTAGCAACTAGGGTTCCTTAAAGGGTTCCTTAAAGGGATCTATAGGGGTTCCTTAAAGGGATCTATAGGGTTTAGGGTTTAGGGTCTACTTCAAGGATCATGGGACTTAGTAACTAGGGTTATAATTGGGGTAACTATACTTATAACCCCAATTCAGGTACTTATAACTTATAACCTTACTTACTAAGCCCCATGATCCTCCAAGTAAGGTTCCATGGGCAATCGTGTGAAAGATCCCAAGTACTTCACACTGCTGTTGACAGGGCTGGAGCTGCCTTTGCGGGACCCTGAACCCTACACCGCTTCTTGACAAGCCGACCTATGGCTGCCCCCTGAAGGTTTGAGCAGGAGACTGACAAGAGCCCACAGACCCCTTGCCAGAAAGTTGGAATATCATCATCGTAGCCCATTTAAGGTAAATTATAGGGGATCCTACCATTAATCCATATTCCAACTTTCTGGAGTTCCTTTTAACCCTAACCCAAAGGTCCCACAGTCCCCAAAAACATCGACAGCCCAGCTGCTTGCTTCGTCGGCAGCCACTTCTGTGACAAAGGGAGTCGGCTCACATCTCCTCCGGATGAGGGAATGCTGAGGTTACTTATTTCCATTAACTCCGGTTCAGGGGTTTGAGCCTTAGGATTTACGGCCTTAGGGCCACGAAACTAAATGCCCTATACGGTTACCGGGCGTTGTCTGAAGCGGGGTGCCAAAGGCAATGGACTGTCGGATGACGGCGGTTTGGAACCTTCTTCACAGAGGGCCTGAACCTATGGAATCAGGAACGCTTAATTTCAAGCGCCTCCCATAACATAAATGCAGGTGTGAATATCTATACATATCACAGACACAGATACATATGTACATACATATATGTCAGGTTAACCCCCCATTTACGCCCTTACCATTGCTCTCAAAGGGGCGCATCATCGGTCTCGGCATACCTTGCCTGGGCATTTCGAATGAGGTCTGGTCTTTGGGGGTTTCAGGGTTTCCGACTCCAGTCCACAAGGTCACGGTGCTAGGGCTTGAAGTTGTAATGTAGGGGCCTTACTACTAGGAATAATTGGGCCCCCTATACTATCATTCGACTAAGGAGCCCCCCAAAACTAGTATAGGTAATTATTTTGGCCCCCGTATTCTTAGATGTTTAGTGGAAGGGCGAAAAAAAGGAAATCCTTTTTTATGCTTTTGTGGTGCCAATGCCACAACCAGGACAACTAAATAACCACAGTTAAGGATTGGATTGTTCTGAATTTAGGTATCATGGGGTTATTAATAAATAAAAACCGTGGTCGATAAACTTGATAGTCATTGGTGCTCAGTAGTAGCTTTTGCACACCTGTAGTCCGCACAGAAAACTCACACGCATTTTTTCCCCTGCCCCTGGTGGCATGGGGTGAGCCGCCAGAACCTGCCAGAAAGCTCCTGCCGCATGGCCAAAATTGCATTCGGGTTTAGGGTTTAGGGGTGTAGAGAATTAATTTAAATTTTGAGGCCTGGGAGGTGGACTAGCAGCAAATTTGGGGTGAGGTTCCGGACTTAGGGGCCTAAGTCTCAAGACAGCAAGGAAAGCCTACACCTTAAAGCTTGAATCACTCTCATGGGTAATCTGAGTTGTGGCTTCGATGTGGGGAGAACGTTTCTGTGGCGAGCTTGGGGCTTCGAGGTCGAGGGCCTATGGCGAGCTTGGGGCTTCGAGGTCGAGGGCCTATGGCGAGCTTGGGGCTTCGAGGTCGAGGGCCTATGGCGAGCTTGGGGCTTCGAGGTCGAGGGCAGAAGTGGGAAGCTTGTCACTTTCGAACAGGCTTATCATTTAATGGCAAAGGCTTTAGGGTTTGGGTTTAGGGCTTAGGGTTTAGGGTTCGAAAGCTGTGTAAGCGCGCGAATAATAAGTTACATTTAAGCGGATAATTTACACGCTGTTTTGAATCAAGCTGCAGGGCGGGCATGAAAACCCGAATCACGAATGCCTAGACTCAGACCCCAAATCCAATCCATTACATCATCAAAGTCTACGCAAGGTTTAGGGTTTAGGTTTAAATTAAATGGGTTTCATAGGGATCGGGTTCAAGCCCTAGGCGCCAGGATCTCGATGTCGGATGCCACTGTTGACTGGTACAGCACCGCCTGAAATCGTGCCGCAGTCTCGGCAACGTTGTAGGGCAAAGCCTGTCCCCGGCAGGTGCCCGCAATGAGAGCCAGCCGCGCTGGTCGAACTTCCGGCAGATGTGCTACTGCCACCCTGACGACAAAGTACTGGCGCGCTGGCTCACAGCCTCCATGCGGCCCATTCGCACCACCAGTGACTGGAGACAGCTGTGACAGTGACAGTGCCCAGCCGTGGTGTCCTTGTGCGCGCAGTCTCTTTCGTTCCGGCTCTCCCACAGTTTGTGGAACGTCTATGAAAGACATGGCTGGCTCTGGTTGCCAAGCTGCAGCTTCAAATGCAAGGCAGCGGGGTTTAGGGCTTAGGGCACTGAATTATTTCCGTCCGTGTTCCGTGCTCCAAACCCAGGGGCTTCTTAAGGATACTGGGCTAATGAAAGGGGAATACTCCCTGTCATTCATCGCAAGCGGGCCAAGTTAAGGGCTTGGTTCCGCAGTGATGTTGGTTCTTACATAGGGTTCTCCTGTCCAGGCAAATCCCAGGAGTAAATAACTTGAATCGATACATTACCCCTCTGAAATGCAGAGAATCCAGCAATTCGAATAACCTTAAATGCCGACATGGCCACAACCCAACTCCAGCGTTTACTACCCTACACACGAGTTCTCAACACACTGAAGACATTAGCATCAAGCAGTACGCATGTGCCGGGGCCCATTTCTTATAAAATTATTACAGGATTTGATGTTTAGCTTGCGGGACTCGTCACTTACACACTAATCACAAACCGGAATGTCACTTAACTTACACACTAACGGACCAAAACCAGAATGCCCAAATCATTCACCTGTCCGCAGTCCAGTGGTCAATCAACTTGAGTCGGACGAGGACGCCGAGGCCTGGGCACAGGGTTTTGAGCAATGTCATTGGCATGGCAAGGCCATGTTCACATAAATCCCCAACTTCTCTCTCTGCCGTGGGATCCTTCAAAGACGGATATTAAGAGGCGGATATTAATAATCCCTGTCAGAGAGCCCGCCTTCGAGGACTGCATTTCCGCGGGCGAGGGCGAGAACTCGCCTGACACCTGGCGGCGAGAAGGTTTGGTGGCCAATTGGGGTTCAGAGATGTTGAGTGTTCAGGGCTTAGACTTAGAGATATAATTTAAGGTCCAGGGTTTAGGGCTTAGGGCTTATTATAGGGTAGGGTTTAGGGTTTATTTAATAATAGGGACTTCAAAGCTAAGCCTCAACCTATTATCTAAACCACGCCAAGCAAAGCAAGAAATCCCTGAGGAGCAAGCCAGTAAATTTATAACTACGACGCCTTAGAACCCCATTATGCCCTTCTAGTCGCAGAACGTCGTTCAAATCCCTCAGTGACAGAGACCCGGACACTGAAGCTCCTGAGCCCTTGCCCGGAAGCCTAGTGCTGAATAGATTCCCAAGGATTTCAACAGAGAAAAGGCCACAGACTAGTCCCAAATGATTCTTCGGGGAACCCTCGGGCAGACGTGATTCCGCGGGCTCAGGGCAGTAGTTTCGTCTTGGGTTGCCGTGTTTGCTGGACTACCCCTGAACGGCCTGACCTGGAAACTAACCGTGGCTACCCGTGCCTTCACAAATTCTGGTCTGTTTGGGATTCAATTCTAAGAGGGCCTGAAGGAACGAGGGCAAGTTCGGATGGAAGGAACGAGGGCGAGTTCGGATGGAAATCCGCTTTAACTTTAACTAACGGCTTGTCAATGCGAACTTAGTAATTAATAACTTAACTTTAGATTGAGGAGATCAGGTCGTCGCTGCGTCTTACATGCAGTCTATGTTACGATCCCTGCGAAAATGATCCTATTGTCCATGCTGCAAAATCTCACGCCTAAAATTCTAAACCCTAAACTGCACTCAGGAGGAGCTTTTGCAAGCAGATTGGCGGTTTAGGTTTTAGGGTAGTAGGGTTTGGGGTTGAGGGTTTATTAAAGTACAGATTAGGGTGGGGGAGGCTTCGGTTTGAAGCACCGACAAGTTAAATGACTACACTGGAAATCCAAGAAGAACACAGTGAAGATCAGACCCCCAACATGCCCTACTAGTCTTACATTTATTGACGGTGAGAGTGGGTGTAAGGGCTCGGGCCTAAGCCTACCCTGCGATCTCGGCGGTCTCGGTGTTCTCGCTGAAGGTCTCTCATCAGGCAAGAAAATCCAGAGCTTGTGAATCAAGTACTCACGAACCTCAGGATTCCTCGGCCATTGGGCCATCTCTTGCGTCGGGCCGGAGCCGCGCGGTGCACGGAGGGAAAGCCCTCTGCCATTGGACCCCTCGGCAACCGATCCCTGGGATCGCGTCCTCTTGCCGTAATCTCGGGGTATCTGCACCAATGCTGTTTCTCGAAAACCTTGGCTCATTCGCCGAAGCGTGAAAGGCATTCAGTGCTCCGCCTGGTGTGGTGCGGCGTGATGAGATCTGCCCACGCTCTGGCAGCGACTGGCAGCCTTCGCTGCAGTCAGTGTTTCAAGCCAGCTCGGCCGGCTTCACTACTAACCTGACCCCGTGCCCCAAGTCCCCTTCAATCTTCTGGGTAAGCTAGCAGGTACTACGGCGGCTTCACGTTAAGACCTGGTGACACCCGTATTTTCCTACCCGATGCCTATTCACTGCACTGGCACAAACCTCTTTTAAACAGCTCAGCGATTAGGGCTTATTACTTCAAGATTTGGGGTTTCAGGTTTAGGGTTCAATGCGCAGGGTTTGAGATGCAGGGTTCCGGGCTTGGCTTTAGGGTTCAGGGTTTAGGGTTTCAGGTATTATTAAGCTCCAGGAGTTCGGGGGAGTAAACCGCCAAAGCCTAACCCCTTAATCAAACCTCGAAGTGGGAACCAGAAGACTCAACACTGGAACTGACGACTGACATTGAAACTCTAAGCCACAATCCCCTAGAGCCTTAACTCCAAAAATCCTTGTAATGTTATTATTTGTTAGTAGCCAATTTCATAAACCGTCCGGACACAACCTCACCACCCATGACATGAAGCCCCCAGGCATTATTATTTTTGTTCTTCACATCCGAAACTCTGTTCGAGTCCTTAAATATTGCCTACGCACGACTGAGACGAGAATGTATAATGCAGACTTCCCACTTTAAGTCAACCCCCCCCCAGTATTCAAAGCACTTCGGGGCCAATCCTCCCAAAATCATCCCTGAAAACCTATTCTAAAGGATCCGAAAGATCCCTGAACCCAAAACCCTTAGCTAGAACCCTAAACCCTAGGCTTAGGAACTGTGCCCTTTAAGCCCTTCAGCCAGAACCCTAAACCCTAGGCCCTCAACCCTAACCCTAAGAAATTAATCCCAAACCCCCATGCCCGGAAGCACATGAATACAGCCATTGGTACCCATGACAATGATAATATGACATTAAAAGAAAAGCCTTAGCATAAAATACGACGACTCGGCCAAAGTTCTAAGCCCTGGACGACTAAGTCATGCATATCATATTGTCGTCCTGCGAGCCTGGCACGTTGGCAGCACGCAGCGTCACCACCTGCAGCAGCAGCGAATGCAAAATCATGCCCTCCTCTCGGACTGACTGCCAGGAGTCTCAATGCTGTCGTCATGGACTTTGCAATGGCAACACTTGCTCTCACGTTTTTTTCGCGCCGACTGTGTGCGAAGCATCCACGAACGCTTGGGTCAAAACAGCACCCGAGGGCGGCTTCTCAACATTAAATTGCACCCGAGGGCGGCTTCAAGATCAAACTACAACATGCCTCACCTATTTCTTCGGCTTGTTGATTTGAGTCTGAGTCCCCGCCCTCGCCCCCGCACCGACAGCCTCACCCGGC